TATATTATATATACTTATGTGTTATATATTATATATATATATACATTATATATAATTATGTAGTTTTAGTAAATGTTTTCAGTGTCAGGACTATTTTTTTTAGAGTTTATGATAAAATAATTTCAGGTTGTTATAGCGTGTTCAATATAATGTTTTAGTATACATGATGTTTGTTTGTGTGTGTGTGCGTGTGTGTGTGTGTCTGCGTGTTGTGTGTGTGTGCGTGTTGTTTTTGAATTTCATTTTCGATTTTTTGTGTTTCGAAGTTGTTTTTTAATAAACTTTAATGAAAATTTTCAAACAAAAAATTTGTTTCTTGACTTGTAAATGAAACAAACTTCTTTTTACTCTAAAATCCTTGGAAGTTCTCCCACTTTTTCAACTCTCTTTCTCACTTTCACTCTCTCTGTCTCTCTCTCTGTCTCTGTCTCTCTCTCTCTCTCTTTCTCTCTCTTTCTGTCTTTCTCTCTCATACTTCATCTTTTCATTTTTTCACCGTGTCGTATTTGCTTGACTGTCTTTCTTTTTTAAATGTTTCTTTTTCTTTCTCCCTTTTTGTATTTATTTCTGTATCTTTCTTTATCCTTTTGTATCTTTCTGTATGTTTCTTTTCTCTTTCCCTCTCTTCCTCGCTCTCTTTCTCTCCTTCTCTCTTTTTCTTTCCTTTATTCGTCCATCTGTCTGGTCCCATAATGACGTCTGATCGTCTGATTTAGCGTGATGCGTACAAAATTGATTGTCTAGCAAAACACACACGTACGCGCACACACACACAAACACATGCAAACATTCATTCATGCATACATACAAACATACATACATACATACACACAAACATACATACATACAAACAAGCATGTATGAGTAGTAACTCAATTTCATATGCAAGCCAAATATTGCATTAATAATAAGAATAATATAAGGCCTAGACTGACAGACAGACAGGACAGACAGACAATTGTTGATGTTGTTGTTGATGACGTCGACAATGATGATGACGTTGACGATTATGATAATGATGACGATGATGGTGAGGATGAAAATGATGATGATGAATATTGAGCACGTAAATTCTATAATTGATCGTGTTAATTGTATTACTCGAAAACTGAATGGTATTTACAAACATTTTTTTAGCTACCTGTAGACCAGAAGTGGGTAAATTGCGGCCCGCGAAGCATTGTTTGCCAAAAAATGGTCGTTGGCCAGACAATATGACCAGAAAAAAGAGCCACAAAACTTAAAAAATTTTTCTCCGTGTCGAAAAAATTTGCTTTTTAAGTACATATGCGGCCCTTTAAAGGTAAAACAATTTTCAATACGGAACTAGAGTGTAACCATCTGGTCTGCTATTAATTTCAGAGACTAGGCCTGCAGGTACCTTCACGGCGGGTATGTTAGCTTTCTGAAAAAGCCTACATATGTAATCATTCATAGCCGTACGTCGTGCCTGTCTGCAGAACCCAATCTGCAGGACAGACAATGATGGCCCAAAGGGGATTCGTCGGTACCACATAAACACCTGTATCCAGAAACCACTGGCAGCCATCAAGTCTAAGAAAAAGACTAACTCTGATGGATGCATTGGCCAGTCTAGTACTACACGCTCTTTACAGCCATCAATCATCTGGCTTCATCTTGAGGCTAAACATTCAGCCTCTCCAATCGAGAATTGACCTATCCAAGAATGGATCACCCATTTTTTCTGCAAACAGGCGTCTATGTCAACGCCATTAATTAAAGGTTTCAACCCTCAGGTGGTCTCCGAATGCTCTATCGTCATATCTTTGTATGTGCGTATGGAGTATATATGTGTAGTGTATAGATTTACGGATGTGTGCATGAATGCATATGTACATGTACATGCATGTATATGTGTACGAATGTAGGTATGTATGTACTTGTATATGTGTGTGTATATATATGTGTGCACAAAATGTATTGTACACACACGTATAGAGATGGCTTATGTATACGGTTGCTGCAACTGACAATGTTTTTGTTTTCTTCCAAATGAATTATGCATTGTTTTGTATTGTAGTAATGTAAATATAACGGTTTAAATTTTCATCTTTAAATAATAAATTTAATATATGTAAATTACATACATTGGATAAATTAAATGAAAAGGAAAATATATAAATATATTTGTTTCATAATTGCCGCAATTTTGTGTAATCATTTTATTTGTATGAGAACATGGAATTATTAGTCTAATAATCAAATAATCGTTAGTTAGAATTGTAATAATTAATTAAAATTTTATTTGGTCAGATAAAATGAAACATTACATTTAGAAGAAAATGGATAAAATGACTTGTGGCACAAGATTTTGTTATAAATTTTAATATTAAGTATATAATTATCAATTATAATAATTATAACAATGTAAAAATGTGATTTGGGAATTAAGAATAAGAATATTAATTAAGAATAAATGAAACATTAAGTAGATAAAACGTTTTATAGTTTAGTGTTAGTCTGTACAGTTTGTCAATGTTTTTTTCATCTTCTCATTCTATTCTAGGTATTAATAATTAGTTAATTTAATTAATTTTTTTAATTGAATTAACTTTTAATGCAATTTAAATATTCTCAATTTCCTTTTAAACAAAGTTCTTGCTGTTTTGATTTTGAATAGAAATTTGCGATAAAAAATTGACTAAGTTAACATTTTTTTCATTAAAAATCACTAAATTTGGTTATAAAAATTGCTAATACTAATTGCCTTTTTAGCTTTTTGCTATTTAGAATTAGTTATCTTATAATTATATAGTACTGTATTATTTTTTGTTATAGATAATTTTTTATTTTTAACATTTAGAAATAATTAGTTAAAAATAATAAAATTGAAACTAGTCGATGATTAAATTAGGGAAAATAAAACTATGGTAAAGTAAAAGAATAAGAATATTGATTTTATTTGCAAATATCAGAGAAAAAAAGTACTTTAAAAAGTTTTTAATTTTTGATACACATGCTTTGAAGATTGAATTTTTTAAAGATATTATATTCGTATTGCATATGTAAAACCATATCATCTGTCATCTAACTAATTTAATGAATCTGATACAAGATAAATAGTCACTAATTAGCATTTTAAAATCTAGTCTGTCATCATCATATCTAGTCAGTAGTCAGTAACTAATAGCTAACAACCTATTTTTCAAATCTTAATCCCCAACCCCGAACTTAACTTTAGTAACTGAACTGAATGAACATGGAAAACCAATTCCTACAACAAAACGTTAAAGGGGACGAAAATTCAGCTGGATCATCCTGTCAGGAACGGGATATATTATTAGGATTCGGCGGCGGGGGTGGGGGCAAAACTTCAAGTTTACCTCAGCAGCAATCGAATGCCAAAAGACATCCATGCAAAATGACGTTACAGGGTAAGGTCTACAACTTCCTGGAGAGGCCGACAGGATGGAAGTGCTTCGCTTACCATTTCACAGTGTTAGTCTGTCTTACTTTTTTTTAAATGATGCATAGCATTTAGAGTGAGTGAAGAATATGAATAAATAATTTCCTACTAAAAGTATGTATCAATGCTATCAAGTAATTTAAAAAATAAACCTTTCTAAAATGCTTTTAATCATCTGGCATAATATTATCAATCAATTCATCAACAAATCAATTAATCAACTAGCCAACAGATCAATCAGTCAACCAATCAGTCAACCAACTAACCACTAACCAACCAGCCAACCAACCAGTCAATCAATCTGCTATCCAATTTCATTCTTGCATCATTATTCTTATCATAAGCTTATGACAATTTCCAAGAAATACATTTGTTTACACACCTACACAAAAACACGCAGGCACACACACACACACACGCAGGCACGCACACATACTTACACGTACACACACACACATACATAAATACACACACACACACACATGCACAAATTGGATCATATGTTTTGCCTTCTTCAAATTAAATTAACTGAAGCTAACCCAGCAGAACACTAATTGTTATTATCCATATTGCTATTATTATTATAATTATTATTATTATTGTTGTTGTTATTGCTATTGCGCTGTTGGTGTTATTATTTTGTTTGGTATTTTTTAAAAAATAAGTTTTACGAAATATACTTTCAATTTATATTATATCTATAATTTCATTTAGATAGACAAATAAAAAGATTGCTTGTTTGATGAATGAATAAATGAATGATTGAATGAATGATTGAATGAATGATTGAGTGAATGAATGATTGAATTAATGATTGAATGAATGACAGATTTTACGAATGAATGGATGAAGGTATGGATGAATACTTGTTAAAATTTAAAAATTGATGTTTAGATGGATGGAAGGATGGATGAGTAATAAATGAATGATTGAATAGATGAATAACAAAAATGAATGAATGAAAAGATGGAAAGATGGAGAAATGGATAGGTAGATGGAAAGATGAAGGGATAGATGGATGGAGGAAAGGTTGTAGAGAAAGAGAATAATTATGTAAATGGCCAAAACAAACCATTGATCTTATATTTTTGGTTTGTTGTCTGTCTGTCTGTCTGTATGTGTGTGTGTGTCTCTAGATCTGTTTGTTTGTTGTTTGTCTGTCTACACACATATATACATGCACACACACACACACACACACACACAACAATACACACACACACTCAAACAAACAAAAAAACAAACCAACAAAACACAAAAGCATCTAGATAGGCTATAAATCATAATACTACAAGTTAATTTAATTTCAAATCTGTAATGTAATGTTTGTTGCAGTGTTTGTATGTTTGTATGTGTGTTTGTGTATATATGTATATATATATATATATACACACATATATATATATATATATATATATATATATGTATATATATATATATATATGTCTGTGTGTGTGTGTGTGTGTGTGTGTGGTGTGTGTGTGTATGTGTGTGTGTGTGTGTGTGTGTGTGTGTGTGTGTGTGTGTGTGTGTGTGTGTGTGTTCGTGTGTATTCATTACAAACCCCTTAAATCTCCCATTTA